GCTTTTCTGAAGAACAAGACAGAAAGAATTTGGGGGCCCTGCATTGAGAATTAGAATGAGTGAGCAAGCACGGGCACTTCTTTGATGGTTTACAGCAGGCGTAGCTCCCAGATCCAGTGGGATGCTTTGTAGGCCATAAGTTGCACACTAAATTGGATGCACAGGGTGGCACGGAGCCCAATCCTGGTGCGCAGACCCTGCCCGGCTGGAATCAGGATCTGGAAAGCAGGATTAGGGTCTGACCAGATAGAGGTGGTGCCCAGCTGATCCCAGCTGTGTTCAAGTGGCCCAAACTAGCCCTGCACCATTCACTGGTCAAAAAAATGTGAGAACCATTTTGAAAATGGGACTTAAAAAGCAATGGTCAATTCGATATCCTTCTTGCTGTAATAGCCTCCTCAAAAGAATGGAAACAAAGAAGGGGTCGAGCCCCAAATCCTAGAGGCAAGGATTTCTTAGGGTGGTATCTTTTACTGGACCAACTGCGTAGTTGGGAGAGAGTTAGACAAGCTTTCTAATGCACGACATTCTTCAGGTTTCCCAAACTCCTAGGCACAAGCGACTCCCTGGCAGCAGACACTTCAAATGGCCAGAATGAGAAGCATCTTTGCCAGAAAACTTACATCCCAACAGATTCAGCATTATTCTTCATAGGCTTTTCTCCTCTGCTGTGGAAATGTAATTTAAAAATTTGGGGGGGGAAGGGCAGGGATTTTGGTGCAGAAGACAGTAACAGAATATTCCCTGTGAAATAAAGTCTGCCATGAAGAATAGGAAAAGAGGACTTGACAGAACATTTTATTTCAGATTCCATACTAGAGCAAAAGATCTTACTATCACAAGTCTAATTCCTTTAGTCCCACAGTCTTGAACGACTTGCTATGCCAAGATATGACCAGATCAGATCCGCCCCTTACTTCTAGCCATTTCTTAGATTTAGATCAGCTGTGGGCCAGATCCAGCATGCTATAGTGCACCTGGAAACCAACCCCATGTGCCAAGCCTACACCAAATCCAGCCCACAGACTGACCCTGCCTGGAAGATCTGGCCTATGGGGTGTTCCTGTGCCACTCCTGCAGGCCCCACAGGACCAGAAGGTTGAGCACCACTGATTTAGAGCAGAGGTGTCAAAATCACCTGGAACTATGGGCCGGGCCAGATGAGGGGCATAGGCTGGGCATCTGGATCTAGCCAGTGGGCTGTTTTGCAAGTTGCTTGCAGCACACGTGCTGTTTCCAGCCCCGTACGCTGTATCATGTACCTGCCCCAGCCCCATGTGGCCCGCAGTGCACAGGGCCAGTTCAGGATGTGCACTAACATGCAGGACACAGTGCTGGTCTGGGGCATGCACTGCATGTGGAGCTCATGCTGGACTGGCTCTGAGATGTGGGTTCAGTCTGGATCAGCCCTGTATCCAGCACTCAGGACCAGTCTGATGATGATGCCACATGCAGCACACAGCTCAGACTGGCCTTGTGCTGTGTGCAGCCCATGCCAGACAGGCTTCATCTGCTAGGCCAGGGCCAGCATGTGTTGGATGCAGCAGGCAACACTGTGGGCCAGACAGCATGGCTGCACGAACCAGATCTGGCCCACTGGCCAGATCTTCGACACTGCTGATTTAGAGATAGGCAATTCTCCTTATTCAGGTCTATGTTGATGACTAGGCTCAGAAGCTGTCGACCCAGTTTCTGAGGGCCAAGATCCAGAGTACAACAAAACACAGATGCATTAGCTGGGTCTGAAGACCTCGAATCCATCCTTCAAACGCTTTATGCCAATCTCAGCTCTTCTACCTTCAGTTCTTCTGTTTATTTTAGCACTTTCTGATTACAGAACTGACCCATTCAGCTCCGGGGCATTGCTCAAAGCCCGAATTTCATTGAAAGGCCAATGAAAGAGAAGAACCTTCAAACTGTGCTCCTTTCAAATGCAGGACAAATCTCAAAGCCACTGAATGCATGCACTCTGCCTAGACACTTGGGACAGTATGTCTAACTGAATATTTTTTAAGCCTATCCTCTACTCCAGCCATATTAATGAGAAACACCCAAAAGACAACTATATGTTATTCAAGTGCTAAATAGAAAGCAGAGCTTTGTTTAAATTAAACCCCAACCTGATGAGGAGACTTAATTACAGAGAAGTAGAGATGGACTCTCTGACAGAAGAGGAATTGAGCAGCAGCAAGTGGTGGGGTCCTCCACCCCTCCTGGTCTACAACACTGGGTCTGAGGAGCTCGTTTGCATGTACCACTTAATGGCTTCACTGTTTTCAATAGTTTTTCACCTTGCGTGGTGACAGGATCTGTAAAGCTATGATCAAACAATTCTGAACGCCTCCTTAATGTTATTTAAAATCAAAACAGAAAATTATACTTATACTGAGTACCCAAAGATGAATTCATCTAGGATAGCTTGCTTCAAGTGCTCCCAGTCAACAGCTCATGGAAACGAAGCCCTTAATGGATTAGGCTACAAAAAGGCATGGCAGTCCTCAGAAATAAACAGGACTTTCAACTCCTACTAATCACTGAAAGGTAAACTTCTAAGTCACTCAAATTTTATTTAGAGAGACAGCACACATTTTGTGAAAATCTACACATGATGAAGTAAAACAAACACTAGGCACAAGCTAGCTCTGTCAACAAAACTATAGTGTGTACCGTGCTGAAGTGGCCTGAGAAGGTCAGACGAGAGAAGGAAACAAGAATAAGATTTTATACTTTCTTGGCACGGATGATAAAAATGTAAACCACAATACAACACGTACAACTTCAGATTTCAAGGAAAACTCCTTCAAGCTCAACAGCAGCTAGCAGCTTGTCTCTGTTTGCCATCACTCTAGATCAGAGGAGCCCACATGCTTTTTTCTTTCCTGCCCCCTTCAGTTACACTTGAGCTCTTTGACTGAAAAGGCCTGGAACAGATTAAAAGTCCAACCACAAAATAAAAAGCCTTGGCATGTACTCAAGCCTGTCTGGGATACACATACACAGTGGGCCCAAAGAGGGAAACTATGCAGCAAGAAAACCGTATGCAGTCTTTTGGACATTTCTGACCTCGTTCAGTTTAACTGCCACAGCCTTAACATTTCATGGGACTTCAACATGCTCAAGACAAGTAGTTGTACCCTCACAGCGAAGTCTGCACTATTTACAGGAGTTGAAATTAGTTCTTAGAAATGACATGCGTCTTACTCATGACCTTTGTTACTTAAAAGCTTCCCTTCCACCCATCAGGTTTTCATTCCAGCTGGCTACCCAGGCTCTTACCATTCAAAACCGTAAGCCAATACACAGAATCGGAGGAAAGTACATTTCCTGAGATTACCCAGGGAAATATAATTGGCATGTCTCTCTTCATTGTAAAGTGTAACACTATTTTTCTAAATGACAGCTTCCTGTTTCAACCTTATTCAAAGTTGCGCTTTACTAGCACAGGGCTTTGCAACGCACAAACAGGTCTGAAACTCGGAAGGCAGCGTTAAAGCCAACATGGACATCTGCCAAAGCTGACAGCTTCCCATGTATGCCCCACCTTTGACTCAAATTGCACAGTGGTTCAACCTGTCTACAAGCCAACTAGCACTTTATGAACAAATTGTAACCATGCAGAGTTTTTTTTGAAGAGTAGATGGATATTTATGTTTAAAAACACAGGGCTACAAAAGGAAAAGAAAGAAAAAAAAGCTAGAGTTTTGAACAGCCATTTTAGAAATGCACTGTTGAATTTGAGTTTTGCAGCATTGTGTTTATATGGCATTCATGGAGTTAATGCCTCTCCCAAAAGGGGCCCACAGTTGTTGTTAGGTCAACCCCTGTAAAGCTTCAAAGGCTTTGTATCCCCTCAGCCTGACCTACTCAGTGATCTGCACACTGTTTTCATTTAGTTGCGCTGAGTCCAAGACTAAAGCTTGAAAACCACAATGATCCCCTCTCTCTCTCTTTATACTGTTTTTTCCATAGCTCTGGAAAAAATACCTCACAAATCCATCCAAAGAAACTGAAAATAGAGAATTATGAGGATAACAAATCAACTAATGCACCTATTCAAACTTACATACTAAAACCAGTGGCAAAATTTTGTAAAGGAAAAAAAATTCTATACATATCAACCTTTTCTATAGGATACCTAATGTATCAAAGTGGGTTTGCAGAATATTTTGTGCTCTGGAATTATTAATACTTGTTAATATTTTATTGCAACTTTTACAACATTCTCTTCTTATTGCATTACTTAAAAAAAAAAACCCAAACAAACAAAAAAACCTTGCAATACTGCTGTAACATGAAAGAATAGCTCCTTTAACTGTCTGAAACATCCACTTCATTGCCCCTTTGTTATTTTAATTTAATTGACTACTTCTATATTCACTAACACTGTAACTGTTAGAATTTTTCATGCCTCAAATAAGAAATTTGGATAATGCCACCAAACTTAAACATTTCTCTCAATATGGTTTGAAAAAAGAAAGCTCTCTCATGATCATCACTGTGACAAGCTGGAATTATAAGCTGGTGTTTCTTTCAAATGCATTTAATTAGCATTATATGTTTACTATGAGAAAACAACTGCTTTAGGAGAGCATAAAAGGAGTTATGGAATCAAAATTGTATCCAGTATAAAGATTTTTAATTGCAAGCGGGGATTAAAAGCTTTGTTTATTAAGTAATTCTGGAAATGTGGCGTTTGGGAGCCCTCTGAACCATATGGTAAAATTTTAAATCTCCAGTGCCAGGAATAAGGTATGAATTTGGGAGCCCTCTGAACCATATGGTAAAATCCTAAATGTTTGGTGCCAGGAATAAGGTATGAGAGATGATAGAAATATATACTTATGTTTTTCAAAAGATTTAGTGTGTGATTCAAATAATAATTAAAAAAAATACCTCACTGCAAAAAAGTTGCTCAGGTATGCTTACAAGATGAAAACTGCTACGTGAACTGAAACTAAAAGTGAACCAAAAAAAAATTCTGAGGCAAGATGAACTTTTACCAAAGCGTGGGTCAAGCCTTGGGTCTAGCCAAGATGTGGTCTTGTTCTTATGGTTTATGTAGTAAATTTCTCCATCCTGGGTCATAGCTTGTTCCCATCCATCGGGGAGTGGGCCTGCAATATAGAAGGAAGGAATTCATAGTAGGCTCGTGTTTGGTGCAGCTGGAAAATAGCTCTAATAAAAAAAAAAATCCCAACATTTTACATATAAACCAGTACATGAAACAAATAGTTTCAAGCTCCCATCCAACAATCCTAAGGTAAGGATAGAAAAGGGGTGGATGGGAAAAAAAACCCCACACAGTAAAATGATAAAGCATTCCCACGATTTTAGTAAGGACTTGGAGTTTGATTTTATAACTGGCTTGTATCCTTTAATATATTTGCCTTTGTTTCCCCATTTGCTAAGGTCCCTATAAGGCAGAAGAATTTTAAAATACAAAACCAGCAATAAGTCAAGCCTGCCATAATGAAACCAGTGTTAGCACCTGAAACACGATCAGATCAGAAAGGAACTTCTTCCAGTGAGTAATGCTCAGCATCAGTATAAAACTGACACGATTCTGTGGAAGTGTCCTTGTACTGCTCCTCCAAAGATAGAAGCAGAGTTAAAATGTACAGAATGAGACATCCCCCCCCGCCCACACACACTTCTCCTCACGCCCTTATCTGCTATGAAAGCATTATGGACTACACAATTCTGCAGATATATGGCGAAAAACAAATAAATAAATAAAAATAAAAAAGGAAGGTGAAGTGGAGCAAAAGCAAAAATTGAGTACCTAGACAAAGAAAAAGAGCAGTAATGTGTTGGGAGGGGTGCTAAATTCCCCTCCCAACAGGTAGGCACACACAGCATGTCTACGTTCAGCAAACAATCAGCTAACACACACCAGTACAAAACACACGGCCTCTGCTTAAATGGGAACCCTGAGCCTCTTCCCTAGGCCCCAGAGATTCCCAAACAACAGCATGTGGAAAAGGGACTTCCTACAAGAATACACTTTCCTGATTTCAACTGTCTCATCCCTTTCATCTATATTTTATATTGACTGCAAAGCTCTTTGAGATGGAGACTTAATTTGTGAAGTGCCAAATGTTGAGGCCCACATTTAGTTAAGCGAAGAACATTTAGATTTGAACAATAAGTGAGGGCCTACACAAAAATCTCTATGCATCTGCCACAAATTTCAAGAGTAAGAACAAAACTAGACAATTTTTATTCCAGCCAGCCCGCTAGCCATGAGAAATCCATTGCTCCTCCCATGCAATACAAGCCCAATCATCTCGAAAGAGGGTAACTACCAAGTGCTTGGCTAACAAACCTCCAAGTCATGTAGAACAGACTATACATTTTTGGAAATTAAAAAAAAAAAAATCTTTATTTTTATTCCAGTAGCACCCCAACATCACTGTGGCTTCATTGTGCCAGCTATAAATGCAAAAGAGAAGTGCCTGGCCCAAGCAGCTTTGTTAAATTACTCCACACTGGCACTAATGGGCTGAAATTCACTTCTCTGTCTAGAGAAGCAGGTGGACTACTCAGTAGTCATGGAGTTACTATTTGCGAAGCCTGCCCCAACAGTAACCTCTGTGCAATATTCTCCACTCGCTCTTCAAACCATGCATTCCTATGAAGCCAAATTCAAGGCAACAAATATCATCCATCACCTTGTCCCAGAGCCAGATGAGGCACATGTTCTCAAAAAGAAAGAAAAAAAAATAGTTCCAAGTATGAGGGTATTGATGAAGTGTGGACATTAATAACTAAAAACACTGGATCATACTGTATGAGAACAACTTTTTTTTCTTTTTCTTCTTTTTAAAAGAAGAGTGTCCCTGTCCTGAAGAACTCAGTCTAAACACGCACAGAATATATAACTGACAGACAAATGAAGTGGTTAGGCAACAACTCTGCAGAAAAAAGGCTACAGGAAGAAGTAATAATAATGCAAGGCATACTGTATAATGAGAAACATCTTATAATTTCTGGTATTTTAAACAAAGACTAAATTACAACAGATTCTGATCACACAAGAGAAAATCCGGATTAATTTCTACTAAGGATTATGCAGATAAGTAGAGGTAAACAGATCCATACTTGCATCTGACTGATAAGGAAGTACAGAGTACGGACATAGATAATGTAGGGGAGAAAACAGACCATAAAGATGAACTACACAAACTAAGTAAGGCAAGTTTAAGCAAGACCAGTTGAAAGAGTTGCTTAAAGCAGATATTAATATCATAAAATACCTGCAAAGTTTATCTGCAAGTAAATGACAACTAAACTTTTCTCCTCCAATTCAAGTCAACAAAATCCAATCAGTGGAAAATCTTTTTGGTGCTTAATATCAGAATGTTCAATGGCCAAAAGGTCTAACACTACTTGAATAAATAGGAAAGAGCACGTAAGACCTGGAGAAATATTGTACATTCTTCTGAATTGGTACATGAAACCACATTGCAAGGGGCAGCTAGCACAAATATTTTTCCAGCCTTGATCTTCTATCACAAGATCCTCTGTAGACCAAACTTCCCTCAGAGCTGTGAACTGTCAATACATTTCATCACAAAACTCCTCAAATACAGGATGATAGATAATCAACCCATGGATACTTCCTTCTTTTCAACTTATGTTTTAAAAGTAAACGTATTTAACATTACCAACTGTTTAGAGTATATGGCATCATAAGCTAGACAGTAGAAGTAAATAAATCTCGATTTATTTATTTAAATCTATAATAAGCAGGAGGAACCTTCAAAATGCAGTAGAGTTGAAATGTATGCACTCGAGAGGGGTTGCAGCTCAATGCCTCAGCTCATTTACTAGTACAGTCATCCTTCCCCCAGGAGCTATGAACTGTACTTCACGCTTGCTTCTCACTGTTCCTCTTTTTCCCAGCAGCATTTCATTGCTCAACTTTGACCCCATCTAATAGCCATCCAGAATGACTAGCTGTAAGAGCAAAGAACTTCCATCAGACAAGTCTGAGGGGGAATGGGAAACAGCTAAAAGGAGAATCTACTGCCAAATTAAATGTGTAATGTCTCTAAAATCTGGCATAAAAGGGAAAGCAAACAATTTAAACAAATACAACAAACTTAAATACATTTATGTTACCTGCATAGTTGTGCTAATTCTTTCATGCTATTGTTGTATCAAGCACAGTCACACAAGAAACAGACAAGAATACTTATTTTAAAACATTTATTCTGTATCTCAGTAAGAAACTTGGTCACCTTATATCATTTTAGCAAAAGACTAGCCAAAGTTAAGAACTGTTTCCTACAGAACTCGATTTAAGTGGCTCAATGTTAAAAAATCTTTTCTGTTAAACACACAACATAAAAAGCAAGTTATTACTTTCCACCATTGGTGATAAAGTGAGAAATTTTCAATAACTTTATTAAATCCTATTTGATATAGGATCCTGAAATAGAAAATCCTACCTATTTACAGAGCAGCCTTCCTCCCCACCTCTATGGTCCTAGGTGTTTAGGGAGGCTCCTCTCAGCAAGCTCATATCAGCAAGAGTAAGGCTATATATGCCTGACAATCTTTCAAAAGAGTACTGAGATCCGAGACAGGAAGCAGCTTTGCATATATAAATACATTAAGATGAAAACACCAGTTTTCTCCAGCAGAGAATAAAACATAGCTTGCTAAGTATACTTTCAAACAGTCAATGAATGATTCATTCAAAAATCATAAGGGGAAAAGATGAAAAAAGCCTTTAGGGCATCCAGTCAATTGCTTGTCTACTGCAGAATTGCACCTTACAATGTACAGTCTAGTTCTTTTGTCTAATCTACTTTTAATGCCTTCAGTGTACGGGGTTCCTAAAAAACTCGCTCCTGGCTTCCTATTTTAGATTTCAGTTTAAATGTTTCTTCTTTTTGGCCTAACATACCACATTAACATCCCTGCTTAAGCTTTCCATCTTCAGTTCTCTCTCCCATTTCACCCTATTTGCAGTGGGCAGCATTATCTTGCAACTTAAAAAAAACCCCAAACTTCCCCTGCTCTATTCACTTCCCATTTCTTCACTTTAATTCCTAATTTAATCCAGGAAAAAAAAAATCCAGAAAACAAAACATCCAACCTCCTGAAACAACCCCTGAACCTTTTTCTTTGATTTTTTTTGTTATCCCCCAGCTACGTCTGATATTTTGTAGTTTATATTTACTTATAATGACACTCTGGAGTAATGCTAGTTGTGAAGATCTGAAATCGGTATGATGTGTGCGCTACATAAGAATTAACTGTATAAAGGCAAGAAGTCTCCTTTCTGTAATAACCCAGAAACTTATTTGTAAATTGACTACCTCCACGTGCCATGATAACTATATTTCGTAATTTTTCCAAAATTTTCCATGAAATCTTTCAAGACAGTAAATTAAAGTACATTCCACTGCCAAATACATTTACGTCAGAAGATCTCAATTTCTGGCATCAAGAAACTCAATTTTACTTCCCAGCCTTACAGAACAATTCCCAAGCATAAGAATTTCAATTTGGACAGTTAAAAAATTAAAGTTCATTACTGCCAGCAGTAAAAAATATTGATATTATGACAGCACTCAGAGGTAAAAATCCAATTAAACCAGTTGCTGCACAATACTTGCACAATGCTGCACAATCAACAAGTGGTCAATTCAATTCTTTAAATTATGCTCCGTTATTTATGAAGATATTTAAGAAAATAAAAAACAAAAATTACCACATACTCAACAAAATAACTGAACACATAAGTAACAAAATATGTAAGTTGAGTAGAAACAAATCTATTGATAATATTTGCAATGAGTATATTAAATCAGTCATGTATCAGAAAGAGTCAATATGTAATGTATGGAGTTCTAGAAACACAAAAAACTATTAGCTCTACAGGTGAAATTCAAAAGTGAAACATTACACTACTACAACCGATGTAAATGTTTACTTTGCATCTCATTTCCAAAGCACGATAGATAGATGATAAAACAAAAAGGACAGCGTGATGAAAATCTTTTGTAATTCACACAGAAAAACTTGTATTGGCTTATCAGTAATCATTTTTCATAATTTATCAAAAATCAGACTTTTGAGGCAGAATGAGAGATTTTTTTTTTTTTACTGAAAATCAATTTAACACACATAGCCTAAGATAAGAAAATTCAAAATTATTTTGATTTATAGACTTGCATTACACATTAAGACACCATTGTACACTAGCTCCAAATCTTCCCCTACATTTTCCACAGGTAGATAACTGGAGTAAAATTACTTACCAACTTACTTTTGTTTTCATTTGGATTTTGCTCATTTGACATTGAACTTTAAAATTCTCTTGAATGTTGACTGAGCAAGTTTAAAGGCTGCCTTTTTTAGATCCTCCCATAAACCCTGGGTTACAAACTGGTTTTGCTAATCTTTAAAGGGTAGTGTGTAATCAATTATCAGTTTTATTCCAAATCTGTCTTGCATGTCCCTTTATTGGGCATCAAAATCCCTTTCATCGTAATCCTGTAATGACGGCATGCAAAGTTTTTAAATACATCTTACAAACAGAACACAGGACTGGATACTCAAGCAGTAAACATCTAGTTCTCTGGTGTGGGCAAGGAGATGAATAAATTGAGGGTGTGATAGTGGGAGTGTCCCAATTCCCTATTCTTTTGAAGTTGCCACAGACAATCCTGCAGGAGAGCATCGTGATTACATAGCTGTTGATTGTCTATTGTTGTTCTAGAAAATATGATAGCTAATTTATATTACCCTTTCAAATTAGAGAAATACCAAGACTGTAACTACGTTCGGAGTAATGACTGCCTTAAATCCAACCAAGTTCTCTCTTCTCTTGCCTCACTGAATACAGTACCACAGCCAGGCCAGAAGAAACTCAAGAGAATGGCTTCATTAGCCTCACCTTTAGAAGTCAACCACAAATAACCCAGTTTCAATCATGCCTGCTTATCTTTTGCATTTAAGCATGTTTAATAAGACAACCAAAAGATGCATGAAAGCTCTCTCTTTTGGGGTCGTACAACAGAAAAGTAGATAGCAAGAGAAGTGAGGAGATAAATCATGAGCTCAGATGAGGAAGAAGAGACAGGAGTAGCAAAAAGGTGAAAAGTGCATCAGTTACCAAAAGTTAGTATAAAATCAAGTTAATTTGCCTGAGCTCTGGAGCAGTAGGTCCAAGGACAATGGAAAAAATTAGGCTTTAAGCAACAAGAGGGAGCACCTTGCACTGCAAACTCACCTCAGAAGAAGGTGGAAGGAAGCTGTATTTAGGAGGTAGACTGGAAAACCAGTTGGCCACAATAGTGAACAGATTCAATGTGAATTCAGTTAGAAGGAATTAACATAGATCCAGTTCCTTAAAACATTAAAATCAGAAAGGTGGTACAAATGCATCAACGGCTCTTACAGATACTGATTTTTTTCTTACCTGATGCTGAATTCATTATGTTCGGTTGAACTGGAGGACTGGTGGGGGCTGTCACATTCATCTGGGAAAGCATGGCCTTCCTGGGATCTTGCCATGTAGTTGTTTGATCAATGTGACTAAGACAAAACAAACCAGGGAGTTAGTCATGTATTCACAACAATGATTTTCTAGAGTACAGAAAGTCTAGAAACAAGGAGATTAAAAACAAACAAACAAACAAAAAAACTTGACCAGCAAAAGCAAAGTTCAAAACTGTTAACAAAATCTTCCTTCTCCCCCTGTTTCATTAGAGGTTAGTTTCTTTGTCATATTTTCTTCATCAAGAGGCCGAATTGACTCCTGGTAGGAAGAACAGGCTACAAGAAGCTATTCAGTGCAAATAAGGGTATTAGAATCTAACCCATTCTATTTTAAGTATTTACACATGAACTAAACCTTCTCCCCCATTATTCTCCCTTTTCAAATGAGATTTCCAAATCTTTCCAACAAAAGCAATTGTGTCAAATCTCAGGTACAGTAAAGTAACTTAATGTAGTGCATGTTTTAATCCCCACCTGTTAAATATTGTCAAATGATAGCAAGATAATGAAAAAGCTACCAGTATGTCAAGTAATTTGAGGATTTCCAAAGTGTTCTCTCAACATGGGGCACATCTTTACAGACAGATCATTTTATGGAACATGGTCCTTCATTCACACAAACCATATGTTAATAATGATAGAGATTCATAATCCTGAATAAAATTGAAGGCTATTCAGGAATAACCATATCTATCCCCCCTCCTCTTATAACGTATGAGTGGGAGATCCACATTTGAGGTCAATATTCCATTCAAATCTCTATCATATTTAAGACGCAGTATGGAGTATCATGCACTGATATGAATGTATAGCATGTGTATGTCATACATCATGGGATGAATTAAGGCTGGAATGTCAGTCTTGGCTGAGAATTTTCCATTTGTGCATTACTGCTACTGCTGCGTTTTCACACACAAGACAGACATGCTTTTGCTCTGAAAAAAAATATTTTAAGTGACAAAACTGTTAAAGTCTGGTTGTACTAATCTGTTAAGGTCTGGTGGTTTGATTTGTAAAATTCTTAATTAATTGCAACTTATCTACAATTAGCACCACTGGTCTTAATAGATCAGAACAATGAAAAATGGTTCTCAACTCTCTTTCCCAAAACACTCAGAAAACAGTGTTTACAGAACAGAGCCAAATTTTACATAATACACCTACTCATTGTTCTTAGTTCTTTATTTGCGCAATGTTGGTGTTACCACAGTATCTAAGAACCCCAGTCATGAACCAAGATTTGTTGTGCTACAAAATGAGCACAACTTCTTTCTCACATGGAATTATCTGGCTGTTTGGTCTAGCAGTCAACTTCATAAAATAAGTTAGTACAGTCTAAGTAATCAGAGTGAAGGGAGTTTAAGATGTCTACTCTGCTCAACTTCATGTTTTGGATATAATACCCATTTTATACTATTTTTAAAGTATGTAACAGAAAGTTCTGAAAAGGATGCATTAGGATTTGGAGTGAATCTTTACCTGTCCTAATTTCTGGCAAGCTCTTAATTGTTCACAATGAACTACTTTATTAAATGAGATGTTGCGAAACAAATGGCAGAATTTCTTTAACGTAGGAAGGATATTTATTAAGAGTGCAAAGACAATAATAAAAGGCACTTACAAATTTTAGGAAATGCATACATGGAGAGTACTCTAAAATATATTTGTCTTGCTTAACTTTTTCCCAGCTATTTAGTTGAGGCTTTTCAGGTTTAACATCTTGGCCTGATATAGCAGGAAACAGGCCACGCAGATCAGAGGGTGAGGGAACCCTACAAACTCTTTCTTGCACACAATTATTGTGGGACAAAATTAACAAAAGATATCTAATAAAAGATATCACATCTACCCAAAGAACCTTGCCTGACCACGTCCTTAGACCTACACGGCTTACAGCCAACAGCCCTGGAGCAAGCATATTTATTATTTTACCTGAAATTTAGCACTTAGAATTTCTTATCTGCATTTCCCAATTAATCAAAAATACATTATTTTCCAGCACAGCTACTTAAAATATAGAACAAAACAGCCAGGAAGAAACCACGTGGAAAAATACCCACTGAGTTACATAGGTCAACACTTACTGACCTACTGAACTTTAAAAGCAATTATAAAACTATTTGAGAATGTCACCTGTGCTGAAACTTATTATCAAACATTAACACAGTCTTGTTTTACCACTAAGAAACAAGAGTCATCAATTCTCCCTGTGGATAGGAGGAGGAGAGGGAAACTCTTTGTTTTCATTTTTTTTTTAATAATAAAATTTAAAGTTAAAAAAAAGCATGTATGCAAATGTGTGGCTTTCCCAGGGGCTGAGCAGGAAACACTTGTCAGTAATAATGAAAGCACTCATATCATCACAGACTGAAAGCTGGCTTTCCCCAGCAACCTTCATGGACTTGCAAATTTAGGACTAGTTCTCCATCTTCCACCTTGCAGACTGCCTCCTCCATGGCCCAGCACAACCCAAACGGGTCTACATTTTGGTGCAAGGTGAAGGGTCCAAACTCAAATGTGATGTGTGCCTGGTCCAAGAAGTGGAAGAGCTGGAGGGCATTGTTGAAGCCAGCTTCTGTGAGCCTATTTCTGAGGCTTTTCAGGTTTAACATCTTGGTCTGGTACAGCAGGAAACAGGCCAGGCAGATCAGAGGGTGAGGGAACCCTACAAACTCTTCCATGCACACAATTATTGTGGGACAAAATTAAGTGTTGCTATCACCTTTTAGCTATACAACAGCAACTATTTTAATATCAGAATGCCTAAAAGTGATGCTTTTTCCTGAGAAAACGCAAGGAAATACTTATGTTAATTTAACATGGTATGACAAAATAAGTATTTTTTCCTTTGTTCCCCCCACCCCCAACAATTGCTTAAACAAACAGGATAACAAACAACAGACATATCAAAATACCTAAAATATGCTGGTATTGAAAATAAGTCTTTCATATTTGGAAATTGTTGGGAGCTTTTCTGGGCTGATAAATTTGTCACAACAAAGAAAGCAGGTAATTAAAGATAATAGAAATATAAAAGTGTTGCTCAGTAAGTCTTCAAGGAAACAATCTGTGTTTAAATTACAGTACCAGCATGTGCTACAACCCCTTCATTTCCAATTTGGCAAGTGCTTACTCCGAATTCCAGAAGGGGGGAGGGCCAAGAAAAAAAATCTACTGCCCTCAAGGTTACACATTTGAACGCTGCGGTTCATCTGAGATTCAGCAGTTGAGCCTCCTTGAAAATAAATGTTCTGCTTAACATTACATGTGTTGGTTAGTAAATAAATGTAGACTTATAGGAGGGTCAAATCCACTGGGCTATATTACAGTGAGAATTTTATTTGTAAATTTACTTGCTAGGAACAAAATGAACCCTTCACAAAACAAAGCTGAACTTGAGTGAAAAACTGAATAGTTTCACAGAAGTATCAGTTTAAAAAGTGCAATGAAGGCTGAATGCCAAAGAATCTCATCACTTTTCCCAAACTGCTCAAGTATGCTATTCAATATGATCATTGGTTTTGAGCCACAAACTTTAACTACTTCCTATATTAAATTTTAGCCATCTCAAAACAAATCAGCAGTGAAGTTATGCACAAAGTAGTTGCACAGTGTCTGCTAGGTTCCCCCACACCAACCCCAGCTAATCTACAAATATTAGGAAAATAAAACTCAACTTTCTCAGGAAGTATGAGATGAATGTTATACATACAAGTTAAGATGAAAGAGATTCTCTTCCCCCACCCCCTCCAGTTATTCATCTATAAATATCCCCAAACTGCCTGAAGATGATAAAGGTCAATGACTTCTTTAACATGTGGTGATATTGCTAGGCCTAAATAAGAACCGTGTAGTTCAAACTTAACAGAAACAGGTAACACACACACACACACACACGTGCGCGCGAACGTAAAAACCACCCCCCTACAAAAACCCCTCCCTATGATAGAAAACACATCACATTGCCACCAATGAGAATGAGTTGCAATCCCTGTGTTTGAATACTGTAAATAATGGATACAGGTCTTGGCTTTCTGCAATATCAGCAACATTATATTAGAACAAAGTACAGAAGGTACTTTTGATTAGCAGTTTGATCTATAAAAGCACAGTGTTCTCAGAAAGGAATGAAGTTGTTCACTTTCACTTTAAACAGAGGTGTGGAAAAGCTGTGCAGGATCCAACATCCAAATGTTTTGTTGCTCAGAGCTCTGGCATTACCACTACGTATCTCTGCCTAAACAGACTGGATGTTACCAAATGTGTGCCAGCTGCCCTAATCCTTAAACTTGAATCCCATATCTCTTACAAAGCATTAATATAGTACCACCACCATCTACAAAAACTTCTACCTATCTATGACTTATCTACAGCATCAATGAAAAAGATAAACAATTACCACATACAACTATTGTATTTACCCAAGACAACTTCTAACATAGGATGATGCCCAATAATTAGATTGCAGACAGGGAAAATTTAGAATGTTATTATTGTTTTCCACGTATACAATCCAATTATTGGAGGGTCTTCTTAAATGCATTCCTCCCACCACTGCAGCATGGCAAGCAGCAAGGGGGTCCTTGCCCCCTGTGCTGCCTGCAACACCCGCACACACTGCCCCCTGCTGCTTGCCCCCCTTGCACTCTTACTGCCTGCTCCTTACCCCCACCTGCCTCCGCACATTGCCTGCCCCCTATGCCACTGCTTACCCTTCTGTCATGGCTTCAGTTTCAACCCACAGCTGGGGCTGCCACCACCATTACTGCTGCTTTGGCCTGGGCAGGGACCAGAACAAGCATGTGCTCCACGCCCTGGGCCAAAGCAGGGTAGAGCCGGAGCTGTGACAGGAGCAGGGGCAAGGAGGAGGAGAGTAGAGGCTGTGGCTCTGATGCCAAGGTCAGGATGGAGATAGAGCCACAGCCCCCAGGCCCTCACTTATACTCAAATCCAAGACAAGGGGCTTTCCTTCTACCCCATGCTGAATGGGGGGGGGGGAGAACCTCTTGGCTTTGATTTGAGTAAATATGTTACAT